GTAAAAACTTGGCAGCGTATTTCTTTACATTGAAGACATTTTTAAAAGGCAAATGGGTTGCTTATTCCAGAAAAAAAAATATTCTAGTATGTTTCCATAAATATTCAGGCTATATCGGGTATTTTAAGAGCTTTTTGCAGAAAATATAGGGTTCTTCCAGTTTTATGGAATTGTACTTTTTAAAGCACTATATAAACTTACTAACATTTTAAATACTGGAACAGATTTTATGGCTATATGTTAATAGGAATTTCAAACCATTCATAGCACTAATTAAATTTTATATATTATACATGTTGCATTACATTACATTGGACTGAACTGTATTACATTATATGTCTACACCAACGAATTTACCAAGACTCACAGAGGTTCCAGTTAACCATGAAACATATATAATACAATAATTAAAAATATCAACAATAAATATAATTAAAATAATTAACAAAAATCTAAGCATAATTACATGAAGTGATAAGCTATTAAAATCAACCAACAAACACAATAATAAAAATAAAATCAACCAACAAACATAATAAAAATAGCATTGATGGCAAAAATTAATCAACAAAGATGATCTGAAAGAGTTCTGTTTTTGTTTTCTTCCTTTTCTAACATTCTTTCAGAAGATGTTAAACTTATTTGTAAAGGAAACAGTGCTCCCTGATCCTGGACCCTTCACATAATTGAAGTCAGAAATAAACAGTAGCTTTTTCCAAGATGACTGGATAAGACAGGTTGAATATGGTCCTGCAAACACCTAGATTCGGCTTTACAAAATTTAAGTGCTGTCAAAACCAGCACTTTGAATTGCATCCAGAAATTTAATGGTAGCCACTTTAGAACTCACAGCACTGAGGTTTTCTGTTGCCAGTAGCCATTACCTTCCAGCAATTGGACTGCTCATTTTACACTAACTTCAGTTGTGTATGTATTTTTTAATGTATTTTTTTAAAAGCAGCCTTGTGTAGAATGTCCTAGAGTAATATAAACACAAAGTAATGAAGGGTTCAGGTAGGGCCACAACGTAGAAAGGACCTCTTGGCCCCAACCTTCACCTATCTATCAGGTTGTAGCTGTGAGTCCATGAAAACTCTCAAGTTTCAGACCTGCTGCTCTGAGAAATACCACTGGCACAAACTGAGAATTAAATTGAACCACCAGCAATTTTGACTTGCTTAGGTTGAACTTCAGGCTGTTTCTTCACATCTAAACACTCATAGCCTTCATTCATTGCAACCAAATTTTCATGACATAATTGGCATAGCACAGTGTGATGATGTACAGTCAGGTATGATTTGCTACTTATGATACCACATCCCATACAGAATCTAAATAATGGGGAGTAAGTGTTTGAAACATGCAGTATGCCACAAGCGGACAGAGGTCTGACCTCTCCTTGCCTGGCCACCATTTGGAAATGCTCACCAAGGAAGGTGTGGGCTCACTGCAAAATAGTGCCCAATTCCCAACTTTCAGGTAATTCAGAGGTATGCTATGATTGATAGTACTGGAAACTGCTGATAGCTCTAACAGGACCAAAAGGAATACACTGCCCACCTCCAAATGCCAAAAAGTGTCCTCCAGCAATGAGGTCAATGCTAGTATAGTGCCAAATGAAAGGGATCCAAATAATCTGCTCCCTGGATCAATAACCTTCCTTAGAAAGGGAAGGTTAGAGACAGGCTGATAGTAATTAAATGTGGCCAGATCAAGAGACTCCCTGAAGAGGTAAGCTACAGCCTCTTCCAAAACCACAGGTACCACTTTAATATATCAGGCAATGATGCACTAACAGGTCCTTGGATCTAGTCAGATGAGACTTTGCACAAATTGTTAGGCAACTTTTAGTTTAGTTTGCAACTAGCACATCCCAATCAATCCCTACATCCAGATTACAGCAGGTATCCATGCCACATTCATTTATTCAGTCAGTCAGTCAGTCAGTCAGTCAGTTATACACATGTGTACCACATATCAGGTACATATGAATCAGCAATTATTGCTGTTAATTGTAAAAATGAGACAATATCTATCACCTGGAGTGATAGAGATAAGCTCCACCGAAATTTTTTTTCATTATCTGTAGCTGTTATCAGCAAACAGGCACAGAACTTCCCAGAGCCTTTGGAGACAATACTATGGTTAATCAGAATGGACAGACCCAAAGGCAAAGGCCTTGGGTTCTTCCAGTCTTAATCCTTTTATGCACATAACAGAATACAGATGGGAAATAAAACAGGAGATTATCCATCCTACACCATGAAAAAAGATGGTGGATGGGAAAAATGTATCAGGTATATACTTTCCTAATGGGGTATTGGTAACCCTATATGAAGCTGCTAGTTAACTGTTCACAGATGCTATAAAAGACACAATCATAATGTAGGTTCAAATTTGGGCTCATACCCATGGTTGGTCATACTCAGTTTTTGTCTTCTTTTACCAAAGCTGCAGGTATAATTTTTTTGTAAATATTATACTAATGTATATAATGCAAATATTATTTTTGTCCGTGATATTTCTATATTATTACATACTCTGCATTTATCTCTCTTTATATGCAACAAATTATTGTATATACATCTTGCATTGACAAGAAACCATTATCATTTTGTGTTAGGTAACCTAGTATTTTTTTAAAGAAGTAGTACCTTTCCAAGTAGAAAGCTTCTCTAATTTTCCAGGATCCAGATCTGTATAGGATTTGTAATCTGGAGTTCAGAATGGATAACTTATTTATCTGATGAAAAATGGAACTGTAATCATCATACATCATACATACAATCATCAAGAATGGGAACAGAGACAACCTTGAAGCATTAACTCCCACACTTAGTGTGAAACATTATGGGAAGGCTGGGAAGAAATGGAGGAAAAATCAAACACAAAGAAAGAGTCAAGAGACAGGGTAAGTCAGTTGGTAGCTCATCTCATAAACAGCAATTTAGCCCAAGGGGAGAGAAACCTGAGAAAACTTTCCAATTATTCAGAGATTCCACCTTAGTGATTAGGTTGGAAATTCTTCCTAGAAGTTCCAAGATGCAATATTTATTTCAGGCTAGGGAATATATGTGCAAGACAGGATGAATTAAAATGGAGAAATATGTATCTTTATATATACATATGCATGTGTACGCTTGTCTTATTGTTTACTGTATTTTTCTTGAATGAATTTTATTTATTTATTTATTTTATATGTTGATGATATGTTAGCAACTTAGTGATAAATTAAGTAATTTGTTTGTTGTTAGAGTCTCCAATTTTATGTAAACCACTACAGAGAAAGGAGATCAGAAAATGACTTTCCTCATTAAGAGAATTTATTGATAATAAATATGAATGAATGAATGAATGAATGAATGAATGAATGAATGAATGAATACTATCATTACAAAGAGGGGCATGATTTTCACCAATGTCCCCCTCCCCTCTCCCGGCTTCCAAATCTTGAAAACAGAAGTAAAGCAGTATTTTTACTAGAATAATGAAGACATCGTGTGAAATGAATTTTTTATGATTATTTTCTTCCTGTTCCACCAATATAAATTTCTATCAGAAGACAACAAAATGAGTTGGTTTATTCTCATGGTTTCTCTTTCTCACAGCAAGGTAGTCTACATAAATCAACATAAACATGGACAAATAAGATTCTATCAAAAAATTACCAAGTGCTGTCAAGGAACACAGAGCGACCAGCTGTGAGATGTGAGATTGGGAATCAATATTTGAGAATTGAAAAACCAAGATTTGTTTGAAATACATATTTTGAGCAACATGTCCAGCTGAGGACAGTTTGACTAGCTGCTGTGATTGTAGAATTTTTTTAAAAAAATCAGCCTAAAAAGGAATTTACAAGATTCAGCAACAGCAAAATACCCTCTATGGAAACTTTATGTTTCAGATCTCTTCTATTTCCCCCCATTTCTTTAGAATATATTTATGGGGTATGCACTGGTTGGGTTAGCAAAGCAAAACTAAAAATCCCCCTTCTTAATCTGATAAGATAGTTTTTCAGCAAAGAAATAAAATGTTTCTTTTTATTCTTCTTTCCTCTTGTTTTAAAGTGTTTTTTTTTATTTCAGCAGAAAGTGTTTCCCCACAACCCCAGAAAAGCTGTGACAGTTCTACAGTGATGGTTGAGCAATAGAAGAATTGTTTTCATCCTACTCCTAACTCCCCTATTGGCAAAGAAGTGGGGAAAAAACTTTTGAACCATCACTTCATGGAGGAACAGGTCTCTTTGATCCCAAGACAACACTTCTTTTTCTCCCCCAACTTATTGCAAGAATTATCACTCATCTCCCCCCCACACACACACACACAATTTCTGGTCAAACACTTGCAAATTGTATGTGTGAGAGTGGGGTGGGAGGAATGTCTGTATTTTCAAATCAGTGTTGACTCCTGTCAACTCTATAGTTTTTCTTGGCAAGATTTTCAGAAGTGGTTTGCCATTGCCTTCTTCTCAGGGATGAGAGAAAATGACTGGCCCAAAGTTGCCTTTGGGTCCAAAGTGGACGCAAAGAATGCATGGTCTCTCATTTTCTAGCTTGATGCCTTAACCTTTAGCCCAAACTGGCTCTCGATCTCATTTTATGCTATATAATTCATAGTTGCTAAGTGATATAAGAAGTCCAAGGAAATAATATTTACCTAGTTACAATAATCTTCATTAAATAATAAGAGAGAAGGGGCTTATTTTTGCAGAACTGCATTGGTTGATCTTCAGACATATTTGTCTTTGTATACATTAGTTTTTTATTTAATATTTATTTTTTCTTAGTTACTGGCAAGATTTCCTCCTTAGAATCACTTTTATCACTTTTTTAGTCTCCTGGTACATTGGCTAGATTATGTCAGCATTTTATATTTGTTTGTTAAAACATCAACAATTTTACATTTAAGTTTTTTAAAACTTCCAGAGAGATACCATCTGGACCCAATCATTATTATTATTTTGCTTTAGTTTTCTAAAACTTCATCATTTTTCTTTTCTATTTGTCTCATTTCACCAGGTTCCCTTTCTAAAATGTTAATTCAGATATGGATATCTGCCCATTTTCTTCTGCACTGAAGAAACATATGCACACAAAAGCCTTCTTTAGTAGTTTATTTTTTATCCAACATGTTGTCTCCCCAGTTGGCTTTTTATTTCTGAAGTGTTTGATTTTTTTATACAGTTCTTAATTTTGTTACACCAATTTGCTTCACGGAATTATTCCTGATATTGTTTTTCTCTTTTCCTTCTTGAAGGAAAAGCCTTCAATTTTCTGAAATAACTTTTTTTTCAAAATCCCTTCAGCTGCTGTTTCTGGCCATATATTCCACACCTGTGTGAAGAATACTATATTATGTCATTATCTTCTATCATTTATTATATAACTGCTTCAAAACAAATGATGATGCTTAGGGAAAGTTTTCCTTGATGCCATATTTATAAAACTGTCAGGAACATTTTAAATGACAACTATTTTTTTTTCCTTCTTCTACATGCCCAATTCTATGGGTATATCTCTTAGTTCAATGTTAACTTCCTGCAAATATCCCTTACCTCAGCCTTAACTTCCTATGATCATCTCTTCCTTCAAATTTTACTTTTTATTATTATGTCTTCCTTTAACCTTAATTTCCTATTAATATATCTTACCTCAATTTCATTTCCTGTTAATATCTCTTACCTCAGAAGTTTAACTTCCTGTGAATCTCTCTTACCTCAGAAGTTTAACTTGCTGTTAATATATTTTACCTCAAGTTTAACTTCCTGCAAATATCTTACCTCAGAAGTTTAACTTCCTATTAACATCTCTTATTTTAAGTTTACTTCCTGTGAATATCGTTTACTTCAAGATTAAGTTCCCATGAATATCTCTTATTTCAATTTTCATTGGGTAGATACTGTATTAGAACAGAAATAAAATATGTAATGAGAACAATATATTTAATGGCAATAATAGAATGACTGTTAAAATCATTGGCCAATAGTTTCAGACAAGCTGTTTTATCTTTTGGATTGGGCAGGGAACATCCTTATAGATTGTAAAGACATCCTCACTTATTTGACAGGGAGGAGAAGTTGCCTTCTTTTATGACCTGCGGTCACTCTGGATGGTCTTTCGTCAAGGGATCCATTTCATTCTCTCTCCATCCATATATATATGGATAATATATATATATTGTCCACTCACTTTCAGGGACTCTAGGTGGATTACAAAAAAATAAAAACCAAATATATAAAGAGTAAAAACAATAACTCCTCCCCCACCTCCACCCCTGGTGACAACAAGCAATCAATATTTTCAATATTTGCCATCAGGGCTTAAACTCTTATTTGATCAACAGACCCATCATTTCCATAGAAAATTCACTCAGAAACAAGAAGTGGCCCTTGATTTGGCAAAACAATCATTTACTCTCTGAAATGGGGAGTGATGCTAGTTCGTCTCCCCGTGGTGTACCCTGGATAGCACGGAAGTGTGAACCAAACGACTAGCAACAATTGGCAGCCAGACTACATTGAAGAATTGGCAGTTAATGACAGTTGGCAGTCAGACATCTTTGTAGAACTCCTGGCTCTCTAAATACATGGCAACAGATAAACAATATCAAGAGCTTACATCGGCCCAACGTCTGATTTTTTCAATATAGACCACACTGTCCTTGAATGACTGGGTGGACTGGACATTAACATTTGAACTACTATAAGTCCATGTATTTGTTATATGCTAAATAAATAAACTCTCTGAAATGATTTTGCCCTTTTTTTCCAATTTATAGAACAACCCTATCAGTAAAGCATGTAGAGCAGTAAAGCAATAAATCCCTCTATTCCAGAATCCTGATTTCTTTGTGTTTTGTGCTGCTTGACTGGCATGAAATACTCTGTGAGATTGGTAAAATTATCCATTCTATAGGTTGCCATTATTTTATTAGCCAGTGGGCATCTATGTGGGCCCTTCCTTCCTCAGTATAAAAGTATGAAATTTGCCAGTTGTATAACATTTTAAATGTCTTCAAAAGTACATCCATCATATCCCTGTGGTTCAGGAGATTGTACTTTAATGTATGATTTTATTCAGGAATTTGACTGAATAACTTATTACATAATTGTAACAGAGACAAACAAAGGTGTTTATTTTACCTGTGAAGGTATTATATACTCTTACATAATGTTTGGTGAGACCTTGAAGAATCAGTTCAATAAAGGACAAATGTTCAATGGTGCCAGATTCCTGTTTCCATAGAAGATTAAGATTGCATTCAAATGAAAATACTTCACATACTTGGTCAGAGGCCTGAAACTGACATGCTTATCGTCAACTTCTATTTTACAGTTTCTGAATACAAGGACACCTAGAATTATTCTGTTTTCCATCCATTCACTCACTCTGGATCTAATATAAATCACACAATGTGTGAAAGGCAATTATGAATCCCAGAATTTTTGTTCAAATGTAATACTGTTACAGCATGCTATTACTTATACATACCTATTATATAAGTATAAGATTTCCAAATCCTTGAACCACATACTGGTTCTCTTATTTCTTGTTGGACTACCCAAAATGGTCATGTGAGAAGGATGATTCGTACCTCCTTAACTCACAGCAGAGACAAAATACTTTTGGGATAGGGAATATTTATTTTCCTCCTCTGATTTTATTACTTATCTTGGTTTTCTCCAAGAATAGTCCTAGTTTCTAGTATTCCTTCTTCCTCTTTGTTATCAACTAAAGTTATCCTCTACATACTGGACAAGCAGATGGGGATGTCGCCACAGTCAACCTCATCTTCTCCTCCCCTTTAATTGGAATATTGCACCTTTACCTGTATTACTGATGTAAGTCTTCCCAATTATATATAGTGGGCTTTTACAGGACACAGAGTAGAGCAACAATACGTAGGAGGTATATACATGTACAGCTATCATGCTATTTCTTCTTGGGGTAAGCAAAAATATTCAAAGCAAACAAACAAAAACAATAAGAAGTATGGAAACAATCCACTGTTCCAGGAAAAAGGGACAGAAACACATGTGCATCCATGCCTCCAACTGACACATTTTTAATGTCCCCACAATATTTTTAAAAAATTTATCCATAGATTAAACAGCTAAAGGGATATTATACATCCATATCTTACTCCCTGTTACACATTAACCTATTTGCTAAACACTGCATTCTTTCTTACACGTACCTTACTCCCTCTTACACAAATCTTACAACATTCAGCAATCAATTTTGAACTCCCTACTTATGCAAAACTATGCCCTCATGCATTTTATAATTCAGATCAATTCTATTTATCATATGCTTTCTTTAAATTAGTAGGTTTACAGATAACCTTTTTTTTTTTTAATTTTTTAATTTGATTTATATGCCACCCTTCTCCGGAGACTCAGGGCGGCTTACAGTGCGTTAAGCAATAGCCTTCATACTTTTGTATATTTATACAAAGTCAGCTTATTGCCCCCACAAACTGGGTCCTCATTTAACCTACCTTAGAAAGGATGGAAGGCTGAGTCAACCTTGAGCCTTGGAGAGATTCGAACCAGCAGTAAATTGCAGGCAGCTGTGTTAATAACAGGGTGCTTTAAACCACTGTAGTACCAAGGCTCATACCTTTGACCTGCAACCACAATTGGGACCAGAATTTCCATCGTAAAATGACTCCCAGTTGCTGTTAACCAAAAATAGTGAGTGAGTGTCCCTCACAGTCTCAGTAAGATAAGGGACTGCCTCCAACTCTCCCAACTCGCCTATATCCCCCCATCTCTATCTTTTTGACTGCCATGCACCATGTCTTATGGGGTAGAACTACTTGGAAGGAAGCTCTGAGATGGACAATTTTTCTGGTAACTAAAATGGCTGAGGATCATGGGAAAACAATTTGCTTGAATTGAGGTACTTGGGTACTCAACTGCTTTGAAACTCTTTGAATTTTCACATTTTGTCCCAATACTCATAGTTTATTTGGTACTTAACGCACAAGCTAGAACTTGTCAGTGTCAGCTGCCTTGTTCACGTCTATAGATCCCGAATTAGCCAAAGAATCCATGACCACATTGCTTAATATGGAAGACATTAAAAGAACAGCAAAGAACTCAATCAAGATTTTAACTAAGAAAATATAAAAAGGGGACAGTATTAATTTGAAAGATAAAGGTTTTGGCAAAAGTACATTTGACATTACATGAAATTAATTAACTAATAGGCCAGATTTCCTGGGAATGTTGATTGTTTGATATCAAAAAGAAAAGATCATCACTGCAAGTTACAAAATAAAAAGGTAAATGCAGTATGAGACAGATTGTGTCATTACAACTATGAAAGACAGATAGGACCAAAGCCTTAAGGGTAAAGAGAAAGTGAACAAAGGGAAAAAGTGGGATGCTTGTTTTTACTTTCAGCTTTGTAACCAATTTACTTTCATTTTTATTTACTGGATTATAAATGAATTAAAAAATGGCAATCACCAGAAAAGCTGCAAATCCGGATGAAGAGGTTCATTAGAGAAACTGACAGAAAAGGGAAATACTCCAGAAATATAAAAATATACATATATTTATAAATATATAAATATAAATATTAAAAAATTGAAGAGTTGCAAAAGCAGTTATCTATCAAATCTATTAAAAATAAGTTTGTTGTGTTTTAAGAGAGAATGGAAAAGAGGTTTGTAAAAATGAAATAGGAGTTGAAACAGTTACAAAAACATTGAAGAATCTATAAGTCCCCTTTCAAGAGAAGTTAAACAAATTAATTACAAGTGGAAATTTTAGAAAGTAAAACAGAAATAATAAGCAGAGAGATGGAAAAAAAAGACTTAGACAACCTGGTGTTGCTGAAATTTAGAGAAAAAAAATCTGTCTGAGACTCAAAGCAATGCTAAAGGATCCTGGGTGGTGTACAATAATATTTATGACTTGCACAAACAGTTAAAGAAAGGCTACCTTTAGTTTCTGGTGAAGGTCATAGAGTATCTCAATGGCTAACCAGATCATACATATGGGAAGCAAGCAAAGCAAGTATGGATTAGTCAATAGATTAGTCTGATGGTCAAGGTCACCAATCTGGAGACCACACAAAATACAAAAACTGAGTAACCTAGTAAAGCCAATGGAGGGGCAACTGGCATTATTCAAGCTTCTTTTATTCCTCAAATTATAAACGTCTGAGATATATTTTATTTATTTTAAATATTTAGATACCTGCCCATCACATATCAAACTCCATGCAAGTCCCAAACAGCAATTAATACAATATTAATAATAAAAGTACATTTATATAAAAGTATATTTATAAATATATTAAAAATCATACACATTAAAAACCTGGCACCAAAGTTACATTTCTGGCATATGATTAATATAATCATAAAATATCAATATACAACAAAGAAACACAGTTTCAGTGCCAAATGTCTCAATTTGTTCAAGAGTCATGAGCCTTAAATCTGGCATGGATTTTCTTTCAGTTGACATCAGTACGCAAACCGAACAGCAAGAACAGAGCCTAGAGTTATATGGGTGAAGGATGGAAAACAATATCACATTTTATATATGGAGACAGAAAAGACTTGTTTTTTTTTTAATTAGCCACAACTGTAACAACATACTGTATTTCCAATGCATATTACTTCCTTACAAAGGGGGCATGTAGATATTATACTGCTATATCTATATCTATGCTAACTATAATGAAAAACAGAAAACTATATTGATATTACATTAAAAGTAAATGTAAACATATTTTAAATATTTTCCTCAATAGGGATGAAGATCAAAAAGATAAACAAATTGACAAGAAGAATCAATTCAATTCTTTCTGGCTGCAGAAAGAATTGAAAAACTCCTGTTTATCAATTATTCCTAACAAATTGTGTCCGGTTCTGATGCTTGACTGCATTTTCTGTTCTTCCCTGTGTATTTACTTTCTGATATGACATTTAAGAGAAATTGCCTGTTTAAAGTCAACAATTGTTTCCACAAAACTATTCTTAAAACAATTTTCTCTTGGGATGAAGCAGGCCTTGCTTAAGCTTAACACAAAGCATATGCAACACTTTTTATGGGAACTGTCTCTTGACACATGAGGAATGTCTCTCAGCACTGAGAATTAAGTCAACAATAGCAATAAGTGTGAAACCCTTAAAGCCTTAAAGACAAGGATGTGTTAAGCCTCTCTCAAGATGAAGATGTCATCACCTCTTTGTGCGATTTCGATCTTGTGAAGATTTATTCAGATGGGCTCTGGGAAGAAATCCTCAAACTGAACATAAAAAAAGGGAAGAAAAAATACTAGTACAGCAAGCTTAAAATGCTATGTTAAAATAAAAGATTATCTTCTCTAGCATATTTCAGATCTTATTATCATAGGTACTTTTTATTTGTTTTTTTTTCTTATAGGAAATATTGAAACTTTAAAAAAATGTTGTGATTAAAATGCTGAAGTAAGAAGTGAGACCGAAGCCTAAAACTACAAATGTAGTACCTACACACAACAGTCCTAAGTGATACATATTTAAATTCAAAAGAATGCAATAAAGTGAGCAAATGTCCAAGACTTTGTTATGATTTGTTATGGGCTGGTTTTGCCAAAAACTGGAAAGTACCTTTAACTAAAAGTTTAATAAAGACTTGTTTGATTAGAAAATGAATATGAAATATGTCATAGTATTATAAGCTCTTAATGATGCATTTTAATATATTAGTTGTATGATATTTCAGATCTATTGTTATCTACTTGTATTTCATAATTTATTCTGGATTTATTTATTTATTATAGTCTTTTAAAAACTATATAATTGAAAAAAATGAAAATAAAAAACAATGAAACATCATTAAACTTCTAGTTGTAAATGCATGTCCTTTATTATAAACCTCATTGTGGTGTTTACATTAGAGTAAATATGTATAACAAAACTAACATTTATTAGACTGCTATATGTTTCAATTATTCTGTGAAATAAATAGTTATGGCTAATTCAGCAAACTAAAAACTGAAAGAAAGAAAATTGTATTGAAAAAGTTTTTTTCATTTTCATTTTATATTTTAAAATAGTTTGGATCAGTTGATCAATCTATCAATCATGTAACTCAGATCATATTACAGATGCTTTGAAAAGGAAGAGATCTGTCTTAAAATATCCATTTCTCTTCAAGAATAAATCAGATGTCACTCCATTTTAAATGTACCCAATCTTTAACTAGAACCAACTCCAGTCCATTAAGAATTCTTTAGATCATTTTTCCATAACACTTAAGATGCCAAAAATTGAAGGAAGAACGTATTGTCAGATAATCAGTAGGCCATTATGTGGGCTATTGGATCAACCAGACAGATCCTTCAGTGTGCTATCACTAGTTGCTACTGATGTTATGAAAGCATCAAAGTATACATGACAACAAATGAGAAAGCAGAACTCCATAAGAGATGAAGGATGTAGGAAGTAGGAATGAGGCAGAGTTTTACTTGCAATATAACTTTTTTGGGGGAGGGGGGGACTAGCCATCAGCAGCAGCGGTAACATAAATATTTGTGGAGATCTTCAATGGGGGCTGTTTTAGAAATATGAGCTCTTCATTGAGAGGAG